TATTCAAGGTTAGAGTGAATAGGCAGTTTTTAGAAACACGTGTAGCATTGTAGGTCACATCGTCGCTATAATATCTGGTGAGATTGTCGTCAAGCGTGTGTTCATTATGAATAATACAAAAAAAAAACAATAATTATAACTTTTTTATAAAAACACCGACTTTAAAAGTTTGCTTATCCACATTCGTTGTGTTACATCTAATTGACAAGTTTTATTGAAATCGGTTATCGGAAAGTGGGTGGAACCCAATAAACCAGATTAATCCCCTAATTTGCCACCTTTAGAGGTAAAATATTTTAATTTGAATGGGACCACTATTGAGGTAAATCCCCTTTCGTATGAGTACCTACTTACTCGTCGTAACTTGTATCGAATAATCATTAACACAATTTATACCACAAAAATTGTTAATTAACTCCGTGTTATCAATAATCTATTTCCTGTTTTTAGGTTCAATAGGTAAAGGCTAAACGTTGTTTAGATTTTAACATTCAAGGTTCATCATCTTCCGTCATTTTAAGAGCCTATTTGTATGTGAAGCAAAAAATAGATACAGATTTTTACAATTCACAGCTACAACTTATCGCTTTTGATGTTGTTATTTTTTTAAGGGTTAGCAAAATGCTAAATCTCGTACAAGGTCAAGAGAACGTTAAGCTTGACAGGTTGGTCTTTAAACAATAACATTTTCTGACTATCTCCGGGTCGAACACCATAAAAATAAACAGGTAGGTAAACCGTATGACAGAATTAATTATTGTTAAACAGGGAAGGTGTCCCCTAGAGATATTTGGGATTCTACCCATCAATGCTAATAACTTTTACTGTATAATCTCTCGGGAAAAATCAACCGGTCCATGCAATGGTTAGTACCTACACATTTGATTGAGTCATGAGAACAACATGCGTGCGTTCATTCTTCTATGTATGTTTACATACACTATCTCATTCTACGAGAACAAAAGACGCATAGCATCGTTATAGTATCTGTAATGTATTTTATAAACAATATTTACATATTTATGGCGCTGTACATCATATTCATGTCTCAGCAGTTCGTCTTCATCCTAACGAAACGCTAAGTGCCTTTCTACACGGTCGAGCTTTCCCCGAGAGTAAACTTGCAAAAGCCAAGTACTTACGTGTGTGATGTGTAAACAATGCAGTAGTGAGTTAGGCGTTTAACTGAAGTCAATGTTTTTACCTAGATGGTGCTTACGGGCTATTAGGTTTTGTATTTTTCATTTTGTATATGTCGAATTATGGTGAATCTAAACTAAACTGCCTCTGTGGCCGAATGGTTACCATGTTAATCTGCCACGCAGGCTTGATTCCCGGGCCGGTAGAAATATTTTTATGAGCTACATTTATTTCTCTCGTGAGTTTGTGTGTAATTTGCGGTTGTCTGTATGTGTCCAAGGCATCCTTGACATAAAATAACATCCGTGCGTGCGTAATATAACAATTAATTTCATAGATTTCTCATAGATGACACTACGCTAAAAAGTAACGACTTTTTAGCCGAAAAACCAATTCTGAAGACACGACAACAAGCACAGAAAAATTCGTAAGGTCCGTTGGCTCGTTCCGTGGCTTAGTTGATATAGCGTCTGGCACGGTATACTAGATGTCGGCTCGAATCCAGCCGGATCGAAAGATTTTTTTCTAATTGTTTGATCTTTTTGTATTAATAATTATAATAAGTTTATAATTATTAGTGGAGTAATTTGACTAAAAAAATTATTGAATATCAATTTAATAAAATTTAAAAACAGTGAATAGCGACATCTCTAGCCGTGGCTGGTAGTTGTAAAGGTGTCTAACTGGGTGAGGAAATACTTTCATAGATTTCTCAGAGATGGCGCTACGGCTAAAAAGTCGTTGAAAAACCAAACACAAAGACACGACAACAAGTACATAGACAAATTCGTGAGGTCCGCTGGTTCGTTCCGAGGCTTAGTTGGTATAGCGTCTGCCACGGAATGCTAGAAAACGTCGGTTCGAATCCGGCCGGATCGAAGGAATGATTTCTAAGTGTTCGATCTTTGTATTAAAAATTATAACAAACTAGTGGAGTAATTACACATAAAAAATAGTTAAATATCAATTCAATAAAAATTTAATAACAATTAAATTACAAAAAATCTTGTGTACTTTCTTTTTTTTAAATTTTTTTGGTCAGTCAACAATTGTTACACCAATAAAATATCAGAAAACATATATGCAAAAAAAAATTAAAACTTAGTGCACAATCTATTATAGACCGACACTTCATGCACTATAAATTATTGCAGAGTAAAAAGAAACTTACAAAAAGAAAAGTGTAAACATTAATTTAACTATACATATTAATCACTTACAAAAACAAATAGTGTTAATATTTTAAGACTAAGCGAAAGTATAAAAAAGAAATTAGGTGACAAAGTTTTAGGAAGGTAACGACATTTCGCGCTTGGTTCGTACTGCAGAGAAGTAGTGTAAATTAATCGTTGCGTAGTGATCATTGTACAATTGGCAAAGCCTAGCAATGGGAGTATTCGCGCCTAAAACAGTCCTGCGAAAAGGCTTGCAAAGAGGCTTGATGTAAAATCACGGTAGTCTGCGGGGAACATTAAATGATATAAGGTTTAGACTTGAAGTGCATTTAATTTGATTATTTAATAATTTATATAAAAACATCATATCTAAAATGTCCTGTCGCTTCTCCAACGACAGCATTTGGAACTTTGTGAGTCTGATCTGAGATTTATATGAACGAAGTTTTTTCGCTTGTCCAGTGTAGAACGCCCAAGGATTCACAAACCTCTTCTGTATCCTCTCCGATCTCAGTGAGTGAATTTTTTCGTTATTGTAATTTGCTGTAGCGACAATAGCACGATGTACATAAAGAGCAGGTGTTGAATTCTGCGATCACTTAATGATAAAATCTTTTTTTTATTATATTAAATGACGGGACGATCAAGTCGTGGGTCTGGTGGTAAGCGACACGCCTGTCCATAATAGTTGCAGTGCCACTTAGAGCTTTAAATCATAAAGATCTGAGGAGCACTGCCACTGCGCCCGTCACCCTGAGGCATAAGTTGACAAGTCCCATGTGGCTGTAGTTTCACCAGCACCCTTACCCTTCAAAACCAGAACGCAGTAATGCTCACGTTACGGCTTCGCGGCAGAAATAGGTAAGGTGGTAGTATATCCCTGGACGAACTAGGAATGCTATTAAAAATCCACATCAATGATTACTTATAATCAAGTTTAAAATTCACATCATATGTATGAAGGTCTAATTTCGCACCCGTGGTATAATAAGGCTACATCTACAAAATGGCAACATTTCAGGAGCAAGTTTAAAGATTATGCGAGTAAAATTAGTCGATAACTTTATTAGGCTTAAATAGGACAGTTTCAAAAATTCATATGTTATTATAATAATAATTTCACATATTATTATAATAATAATATGTGATTGCTTGCATTTTTGATAATCACATGTCGGTTTATATACCAAGGGTACGATGTACTATAAGCACGTTTTTATGGTTTTGTATTAGCAAATAGCTCAACCATAAAAAACTAAACCATAAACTTAATTATAGTCATTGGAAGCTATATATAAGAAAAATCATTTAACCGTAATTTTAAAGGTGCTTCTGGCTTTTTTTGTATAATAACCATGATGTGCTCGAACGAATTTCTACAAATATGTAGTACATAGTGTTTACAAACTTCGTAGGCATTTTAGTTTTTACGGAAGTTAAGCCGTGACTGCGGGTTTGCCCACTGCATCCGATTCGTATTCTTTCCGAATCCGAAACTATACAAATCTAGAAAACTGGGTCCTACTTCGGATGTCGCTTGTGCACTAAGCCCGATTGGAATCCGAGAAAATACGACTATCGCTTGTATAACATCGCCTATTCTCGGATTTTTAACTGATACGAATTGGACGTAGTACACAAACGCTCTCGCAACGTCGGTTAGTTTGAAAAAACAAATATTAGCGAATTAGATCTAAATATAAATAAATCACTATATAATATAAATGTTAGACAATATTACATACGTTGCTTTGATTCCAAAACACATGGAAATCGGATATAATTTTGTTATTGAATTATTAGAAAATCGTAACCTAAAACGATCTGTAAAAGTACGTCAATATGTTGACACCTTACGTAGCGGGAGTAAAGTGCGTCATTTAATCCCTCGAGTATAAAGCACCTAGTTTTTTAATTTAATTTATTTCGAATGACCTAGACAAACTCAAACAGCCAGTACTTGCTCCAGTTTGTGCCAAAAGGTAAACTACATCAACGCTAAAAATAATCACAAAAGCAAAAAACATAACTATAATATTACATTATAATAACTCATGAAAGTAAATAAACCTCACAGTTTCACAGAGATTGCTGTGCTGCTAAAATTCAATAAAAAAGTGCCCATGTGAGGACCTATTACTTATTTATCTAAATATAAACGTTATTATTTAATATTCTATCTATTTTTATTTGCCAAAAGTGCCAGTCTATTTATATAGATGCAGTATTCAGTAATTAGCTCAAGAACTAGCTGAGTCGGAAATATGAAGATTTACCAATATTAGTACATGTTTAAAAACAATCAAAAGTCAGAATATTAATAAATGCAGTAAACGTATGTCAGTCTATTAGTCAAACCTAGATCAGCGTTATTCAGTGCAGTTCCTAAATTTCTCTACTAATGTGCTAGACAATCACACCAATTGCATGGTCTCAACCTAGGGAATTCCCATACTATGAGTACCAGAGCAACGGAATGCACTCCGGAGCACTTTCCGGACTACCCAGACCAGAACAAATTTAAAACAAGTTAGTCTTTCCCAAATTGGTCGAATCGGGAATCGAACCCGGGACCTCCACATCCAACATCCGCAACATCCAAACCGTTGAGCCACCGAGGCCGTTTCTAAAAAATCTTCATTGATCCTAGATACCTGTGTGGACAAAAAAGAAACAAGAATGAACACAAAGACACTGGCTTTGGAAGAAAAGCACAGTGGGAAGGAAGTCGTGAAATCGGAAGAGGCATGGAGAGTATTGAAGAATGTAGTGATTATGAGTATCGCCTTCATGGTGCAGTTCACAGCATATAGTGTAAGTAAAATGTTTTATTTCACGAAATATCTAGGTAAATTCTATGTGACTTGTAAATCCTAGGTGACAATTAATTTTTAATAACACGAGTCGCGTGTTGTGATAATAAAAAATGAGTCTTCTCGACCTCGGCTTAGGTCACGTGGTTCACTTGGTCACAACTACCACAGCATACCTATATAATCATAGTTGGGCTAAACCAAGCTGCAACTAATGTCGGAATGTATGTGACACTATCGTACGCCTAAGGCTCGGTGCGGTACCGTGTGAGTCGACCGATTTGACAAAATGCCAAGAGTCCTTGTCAAAAGGCTATTTGCTATACGATTATACATATAATGTTCAAAGTTGCGATTTTTATTGTACTGATTATCAATGTTTTTATATTCATATATTTTTGTGAGAATACTCTACTATCGAAATATTCTAAGGTTTTCGCGATTGTTATACATAGAAAATGAAACTATTTTTCCGGATTTAAATCGCGTATATTTGTTTTTTCTAACAAACCAACGTTACGTGCCCTTACAGGTCCCATGACCATGTCAGTCAACGGTGACCATGGGATCTGTAAAGGGCCCGAAACGTTGGTTTGTTTGAAAAAACAAATATACGTCATTTAAATCCGGAAAAATAGTTTCATTTCCTAATACTCTATTAGTTTGTTACTGGTACAAAAAGCGAACAAACACAAATAGAAATTCCTTCGATCCCTCTGGAATAGGAACCAGTATCTGTTGTCTCAGCGTGGCTACCGCTCTAAAAGATATGGATATTATGGTAGTAAAAACATCACGGTCCTGCATTTTTTTTATAATATCAAGTGACGGGACGAACAAGTCGTGCACCTGATGGTATGTCCATAACAGTTGCAGTGACATTCAGAGCTTTAAATCCACTGCGCTCGTCACCCTGAGGCATAAGTTGACAAGTCCCATGTGCCTGTAATTTCAACAGCACCCTTACTCTTTAAAACAGTGTATAGCTGACATTACTGCTTGGCGGCAGAAATAGGTAAGGTGGCAGTAGTTCCCTGGACGAACTCTTTCACAAGGAGCTCTACTGCTACACTACAATATAGTGATATTGTATAATATAATATATTATATAATAATACAGCGATGTCTCTGTAAAGAGCGGAAGCTGTAAAGGTACCTGGTTGAGTGAAGAACTTTTATAAGTTTCCCACAGGTGGCGCTACTGACTAAAAGCGGTTCGAACCCTGATAAAGATCTGAAGAAGGCATGTAGAGAATTGCTTAAGATCTGCTTTGTCGATCTGTAATACAGTTTGTAAGAGCGAAAGTGTAATAGGCGCTGGTTCGAATCCAGTCGGAAGGAAGGAATTTTTCTTTGTATTTGTTCGATCTTTTATTTTTAATATTTTTTCTTTATATTTTTTTTCTTTAATATTTTATTCAATAATAATTCTTAAAGTTATTAAAATAACTTATACGATATTTTTTAAAACTTATTTCAGGGTGCAGCGAATCTACAAAGCTCTATCAATGCAGAAGCAGGTTTAGGCACTGCATCTCTTGCAGCTGTTTATGCGGGGCTCATATTTTCTAACATATTTCTTCCGGTTTTAGTTATTAAGTAAGTATTCGCTATTTACCAATTTAGACAGCAATGTACAGTAAAACAAAGAGCGTCTATCTCCAGGTTTGACATCAGTGTAATTAAACAAAGACTGGTATTTTACTTATTCAAAAAAAAAGCCCACTAACTTTAACAAACGTCAATAAAAAAGCATATGCATTTTTTATTGACGTTTATCCCATGTCCTTTATAAATACTTTGCATTTCCATATTCAAGTAGCTACCTTAAGTTGTTGCAAAGTGAACTGGACTGGTGATTTCCTGATAAGTAGTTTAGTAGTGTGATATTAGAATTGTTAAAAGAAACCGCAAATATTCGTGAGATTAAGCATCATACATCCGTATCATTATTATTGTTTAGGATTTGTTATATAAATGCATGATTACGTAAATTTTTTTTAACGTGAAAAACTTGTTTTGTGCTAGACACAAAACAAGTTACGGTAAACAAGGTACGTTAACTTCTAGACTTAATTTCAGACTCTATTGGATATGTTTTATATCTTATTAACATTTTTCACTATAGCAAATGAAATAACTTTGAAAATTTCATAAATTCGCCTGTAGTTTTAGATCTATATGGGAACATCCATATCCATAAACGATTACATTGTGTACATAATTATGTTGTTTGTTTAAATCGTTATTATTAAAAATGAAACTATTTTTAACCGACTTCAAAAAAAGAAGGAGGTTCTCAATTCTTTTTCACAGCAATTTTTTTTTAAAGTATGTTACGCGATAACTCCAGCCGAATTTGTGAACCGATTTTGATGATTATTTTTTGTTGGAAAAAGGATACTTCAGTAGTGGTCTCATTTAAATTTGAAGAAAATATTCCACCTCTAAGGGTGGCAAACTAAGGGATGAATCCGGTTTCGCGCATTTTCCGGTAACCGATTTCAACAAAACTTGGCAAGTGTAATTCCACAAAGTGTAATCCACGAACTATTGAGGTCGGTTTTTTTAGTACTCTGTACTGAGATTATTTGGATCTAAATTAACTATTGTTTCGGATTTGAGTCGCGTTTATTTGTTTTTTGAAAGAAAAGTTTTGGGATTTTTACAGGTTGCCATGCCAACCATAGTCAAGGCTCTTCCAAGGAAAACGAATTGGTAAAGTCATTATCCAATTTTGATTCAATTTTGAACCAACATTGAATTTTGAAAAATGTTTGGCAATCGCGAAAATCTAGAAAACTCGATCGTTACTATTCCTTATCTCTTGGTCATAGTCGGTTAATGACATAGATTACAGAAGTACCATAGACAGATGACAGATAGACTACAAGACAGGTATGTTAACTTTGTAGAGTCAGGGTTATCACTTTCGGCGGCTTTTCTAGGTCCTTTGGTTAAGATCAAAGTGTAGTGTGGGTAATTAAGGTTTATAATTGCCTATGACTGTGTAATTGTCGTCTAGATACCTTCTAGTTTCAAATTACTCATCAATGTATTTTCAAATTACTCATCAATGTATTTTCATGATTTTACCTGGCGGCAGTTCAGAGGGAGATATACTTAAAATTTTCATTTTACTGTTAGGTCTGTCGTTATAGTGGTATTTCATAATTATATTTTAGATTTATTTATTTACTTTATATTCATATATTGAAAATCGTGATAGCCTAGTTTGACCAACCTCTCAAGAAGGGGTTTGTTGGTTCAAATCCAGGCTTGTAAAATCCAGTGCATAGATTTTCGGAATTTTTGTGCGAAATTTAATTTGAAACTTATCATGAGCTTTTCGGTGAAGGAAAACATCGTGAGGAAACCTACACACAATCTACAAAGCAATTTAATGATGTGTGTGAAGTTTCTGCTCCCGATATGCGTCCGAAACAATTGCTGTAAAATAAGTAATACTCCACTAAATTAGAAGACGCATAATGTGAATGAAGCTTCATGCTTGACATTGTCTTTTCATTTCTTCGAGTATTCTTATTTGACAGCAATTGTTTCGGATGGATGTCGGACCGTTGTCAGCAGTACAGTAGGACTATATATTATAACAAATAACATTTATGAAAATGTAATTTATTATATAGCGTTATTTATGGTACAGCGTCTGGCACGGTATGCTAGAAGACGTCGGTTCGAATACGGCCGGATCGAAGGAATTTTTTCTTTTCTTTGTATTAATAATTATAACAAACTAGTGGAGTAATTTCACATAAAAATAATTGAAAAACAATTCAATAAAAATTTAAATACAGTGAATAGCGACATCTCTAGCTGGGGCTGGTAGTTATAAGGGTATCTAACTGAGTGACGAAATATCATAGGTCTCTCATAGATGGCGCTATAGCTAAAAAGTCGTTGAAAAACCAAATACAAAGATACGACGCAAGTACGTAGAAAAATACGCGAGGAAAATATAAACTCTATGCCCACGGTGTGACCGGAACGATTCACAAACGGCTTTACTTTTTCAGATGGCTGGGAACAAAATGGGCGATTTCTCTCTCATTCATCACATACATGCCATACATAGCTTCTCAACTCTATCCGAGGTTTTACACGTTGATTCCAGCTGGCCTTATTGTCGGGTTAGGTGGAGGACCTCTTTGGTGTGCAAAGTGTACGTATATCACTGTGGTAAGTACCAAGATTGTTACTGATATGCAGGGTCATTTGTAAAATATTAACAATCTCGCAGGACAGTATTACTAACATCATATACAACAACTTATGTTCGATGACTTTTAATACTTTTATAGAAGTCGTCGGAGAGAACACTTGCACGTTTGAACTTGCTACCTTACTACCAAATACAGATCTAAAAAGTGTCACATAGTATAAAAAAACAGAGCAGTTTATTTTTGGTAAATAATTTATCATGTTTTGTCAAAATTCACGGATCTAAATTTGCTGTTTAAGATGTGAGTAATTTAGTCCTGCAAGGTTGTTAGTATTTTAATAATAACCCTGTATAGTAGCATGCCGTATAAAGTTATTTAGACAAACTGAGGTTTATAAAACGAACTTTGACTTGGACTAAGTAAAAATGGCGGGCTAAACAAGTTTTTTAGTAGTTTACCAAACGAACATTGCCTATGTTTGAGCATGAAATTATGAACTAAACTAGAAGTTCAATTAAATTTCTTGCTTCTTATCGTATCCATGACATACACTATAATCATAGTAAAATAAGGGAAGTATGGTAACTTCGTACAAAGTAACAGCGCGGCTTCTATGTATGTGTAACCGCCGCATTCAATCCGCGTTGCTACATTTGCCTAAAATTTGCCAATCGGCGTAAAGTACTCACCGATTGTTGCCTAAGGTGCCGTATAGGAAAGGAAAGCAAGGCAAAGTTATTTTTATAAATACGAAAAACATGACTCACCAACTTTGCTTAGTCGAAGTCAAAGTCCGTATAATAAATCTCAGCCTTAGTTTTGACTTAAAAAAGGTTGGAAATGAACTCATTTTAAACAGTATTTTTTCATATGTGCTCATACCGATTAATGGGATATATTGTTGCATGTACCTACTGTTGTCATTAATATTAACCTCCTAAGGCCTCTTGTACTCCAAAACGTACACACCTATATAAGCGAAAGAGCCAGAAAATATTATGATTCCTATGATCACGTAAACGCCCATTGTTCATTACTATGAAAATGTCGCATTCAAATGTAATGCTATATTATCCAATATGACTATAGGATATTTAGAAAAATAAATTTCATATACCATACCGGTGTACACTGGCTTGGGTCTGAGGGATGTAATTATATCGTAGTAGTAGTAGAGTAGCAGTAGAGCTTCTTGTGAAAGAGTTCGTCCAGGATAGTACTGCCACCTTACCTATTTCTGCCGTCAAGCAGTAATGTCAGCACTATTGTATTCCGGTTTTGAAGGGTAAGGATGCTGGTGCAATTACAGGCACATGGGACTTGCCAACTTATGTCTCAGGGTGACGGGCGCAGCGGTAGTGCCCCTCAGATCTCTGCGATTTAAAGCTCTGAGTGGCACTGCAACTGTTACGAACAAGCGTATAGCTTACCATCAGGCGCACGACTTGTTCGTCCCGTTAGAAGATATTATAAAAAACAAAAAAATATATATTTACTACATTTTAATGAGCATTGGGCGTTTAGGACTTTTCTCATTATAGTTTGTTGGGTTCTTTTTTTATTATATCGAGGAACGGTACGAACAAGTCGTGCGCCTGCTGATAAACTACATAACAGTTGCACCGACACTCAGAGCTACAAATAGCACAGATCTGAGGGGCACTGCCACTGCCCTTGTCACCCTCACAAATAAATTGACAAGTTCCATGTGTCTGTAATTTCCCTTCAAAACAGGAACGCAGTAATTCTCATTTACTGCTTGGCGGCAGAAATAGGCAGTGGCAGTACTTTCCTGGACGAACTCTACTGCTACTAAAAATTTTAGGAGGTTTAGAAGGTTAACTAAATTAAAATGTTGTTCTAGCTTTCAGAATACCACAGTAAGATTTCCAATATCCCGGCTGAAGCTCTACTAGCACGCTTCTTTGGATTGTTCTTCATGATTTTCCAAATGAACCAAGTTTGGGGTAACCTTATATCTTCTATAGGTAAGTTTTAAGGTCTTTTAAAATGTTTACTGTGATATTTCTTGAGCTTAAATTTTTAATAATAGTAATTTTTATTGTGACACGTCTCCAGTATTGTCGACTGGGGACAACAAAGCAGCAGTGACAGCCGTGAACGCGTCTGCAATTCCATATGTATGTGGTGCCAACTTTTTGCCTAATGATGATGCCGATGATGTGCTGTTAGCTCAGCCACACGAGAAGATCGAGATGCTCGTAGGTCAGATTCTTTGATTTTATTTATTTAAAAAATATCTTTCGTTTCTATCGCCATAAAATTACTCGAATGGCTCCATAATGGCTCCTAATATTAACGTGATTTAATTTTTAAGGTATTTATTTGGCATGTATGGCCGCGGCAGCTTTCATCGTTGCTGTAGGAGTTGATTCTATGAAAAGGTAAATATTATAATATGCAGGCTGTCTCGCGGCTATGTAACACGGAGGGAAAGTTCTCTAAATATTGTACGCAGAATATTTTCCTTCATAATTTTATTTTAAAGAGTACTTTCTATGTTCAAAGACTTAAAAAGTGGTTTGCCTCATCTAGGAATCGAACTGACCAAATGTGAAAAAAGTCCTGTACTTTTATGATGCTAAAAGGGTCAATTATAAAGATGAATTTCTTTTAAGTAACATTGCATCTTAAATTAAAGGAACACCGTTCAATTATACAATTTGTTAAAGAAAGTAATTACTCACAGTCATAGCTGAATGGCGTATTATTGCCTTTGCCTTTTCCAATGGAAAGAAAACAGTACTAAAAAAAGGAACAAACTTGAAACTGTCAAAGCTGCTGGTTTTGTAATTAGTTCATGAAATGTTCAAAAGCTGATCCATTTTTTGTTTGCAAATTTGATTTGATAAACTCGCCCCATGTAGATTTTGTTATCTTATTACGTCGAATATAAGAAATAATATGCCACAATTTTGTTTTTCACTTTCCACATTTTCAAATTGCTTCTTATTTTAATTATTAATACAAAGATCGAACACTTAAAATAATCCTTCGATCCGGCCGGATTCGAACCGACATCTCCTAGCAAACCGTCCCCGACGCTATGCCAACTAAGCCACGGAACGAACCAGCGGACCTCACGAATTTTTGTATGTGTTTGTTGTCAGTTTTGGTTTTCGATGACTTTTTAGCCGTAGCGCCATCTATGAAAGTATTTCGTCACCCAGTTAGATATCTTTACAGCTACCAGCTAGAGATGTCGCTATTAATTGTAATGAAAGTTTTATTAAATTGATATTCAATATTTTTTTGTGAAATGACTCCACTATGTTTTAATTATTAATACAAAGATCGAACACTTAGAAAAAAATCCTTCGATACTTCTTATTTACGAAATGTTTCAAGTATTCCCACAAAAAGAAATCTATAGTGTCAGGTCTGGACATTTCACCGGCCATCTAATTAGTCTGTGTGTACCGATCCAGGAGGGAAACAATCATTATCTGGCTGTTATGAACCGGAGTCCCATTTACGAATACAGTCAGTAAAAAATATTATAATAAATTTTTCCTAAACTTTACTGAAATATTTCATAGTGTTTTAAAAAAGAAATTTAAGATGTTGTGTTATATAAAAGGAATTAATCCTTATAATAGACTCTTTCGATCGGGATTATAAAAATACACGATGTTCATACACATTTGGTAGGTTAGATTCCCCGGCGAGGCAAGCTACTTTTTAAAATTCTTTGAATGCAGTGTTACCTTAAAATAATATCTCCATGAATCAAAATATTCTATCTACAATCGCATAGTCATAGGACACCTGTATACTGCCTTCAACTAACCAAAATACGGCAAAATGACAAATGGTTAAATATCCGTTTTACTAGTGCAAGTAATTCTGAAAATTCTCTGTTTAATAATCTCAGTACAGAGTACTAAAAACCGACCTCAAAAGTTCGTGGAATTACATTTATTTGCCAAGTTTTATTGACGTCAGTTACTGGAAATTGCACTAAACGGGATTCATCCCCTAGTTTGGTACCCTTAGAGGTGGAATATTTTCTTCAAATTTAAATGGGACCGCTACTGAGGTAACCTTTTTTCCAAAAAAGAGAAAAAGAATTAACAAAATCGGTTCACAAATGCCGTAAGCTATCGCGTAACATACATACAAAAAAAAGAATAAATACAGTCGAATTGTTCTCAATCCTCCTTTTTTAAGGTCGGTTAAAAACAGTTAAGTTTGTAAACGTGTCCGACATATCGGAACGTACGTGTACCTTCATGATGCATAGCTAAAATATCATTAAACAAATTCGATATTCAAAAACCATAACCCGGTTTTTTTATGATAACATCTCAAAATTGATTTTGTCATATAGCCTCGTTTTAGTGAGCAATATTCGATGGAATGAAATAGTGTAAATTATTTAGTAACGCACAAAGGAACCCACCGCAAAAACTCAACAGCACAACTGTTGTGTTGAGAAAATTATTTACAGTGATATTTGTGTGTTTGTGTAAAGATATTTAAGATACACGCTGCAAAGCTTTGAACACCGCTGTAAAGTTGCTTGTTTATCGGTATTCTATAGGATATATCACGGAGAGTGTGCGAGGGAATTGCACGATTTAATTCCGCCTTCACCTTTCCATCATCAGGGGACTAGACGTAGGTTGGGGTTTCACAACTACCTGGCGAACGGCTATGAAATGGAATTCCCTGCGGACATATTCCCTGAACGCTGTAACTTGGGCCTTTTCAAGGCGAGAGAGAATAGGCATTATTTAGGAGTGCTTCATTGTCGATCTCATCGTCACTTTCGATCAGGCGAGTTGGAAGTCAATAAATGCGCACTTATTCTATTATAAAAAAAAGACATATTGCACTTATTTGCCTCCATCTTGAAGTGGTTCCATATATACAAAAGTCATTCTTTTATGGTTTCAGATATGATATAGGAAGACCAAGTTCTGGCTCAGGTCTATCAGGGTTTGCATTACTGGTAGTCACATTGAGACTAATGTTTCATCCCAAACAACTATTGATGGTTATTATGAACATATTTGTAGGCTACCAACAGGCGTATTTTGGTGCTGATTTCACAGCGGCAAGTACTTTTCATAATATTTTTACCTATTACTTTGTGTAAATAAGTATTTGTATTATTATTGATACAAAAACCGACTCTGCCAACTGAGCTAAAGATCCTGGAATAATTAAATTTGCTTGGCTGGTAGTCCATTTGCGTCTTAGCAACCGTTTTTTTTAACGGTTTACAACACTGGATGCAATTCCATGATAAATTATAAGTCACAGCCTTGGTGTAATAAGGTCACGTTTGCAGAATGACAACTTTTCAAGACAGGTGTAAAGGTTCTACCTCTATGAACGATTTAAGTCAATAACTTTTTTATAGGAGAGTTGTAAAGTTTCACATACACATAATTTGTTTAGTAGCAGTAGAGCTCCTTGAGAAAGAGTTCGTCCAGGGAAGTACTGCCGCATTACGTATTTCTGTCGCCAAGTAGTAATGCGAGCATTACTGCGTTCCGGTTTTGAAAGGTAAGGGTGCTGGTGAAATTATAGGCACATGAGACTTGTCAACTTATGTCTCAGGTTGACAGGCGCTATGGCAGTGTTTCTCACATCTTTGCGATTTAAAGCTCCGAGTAGCATAGCACCTGCTATGGATAGGTGTGTCGCTTAACATCAGATGCACGACTAACTTGCCCCGTTATCTTGGTATTACGTGGAGCGCAATATAAGTTTAAGGAATAAATAAGAAAAAAATAGTATAAATGGTCAGAAATGAATTTATTGTTTCTCAAAATATTCTCCGTTAGCGTTAATGCACTTTTTCATACGAATGAACAAATTTTGAAAACATTTATGCCACTTCTCCGCGACAATCTCTGAAACATATTTTTCATACTCTTCGACAGCCTCTTCAGGTGATAAAAATCGTTGACTGCGTATCTGATTCTTAATTTTTGGAAATAAATAAAAGCCACAGGTACGCGGGATGACTCATAAGGTCAAAGTTGTTCACCTTCAAAAATTCACTTGTGTGTCTGGCCATGTGAGAACTGGCATTATTGTGTTACACGATGATACGGCGTTTAGGGTTATTTTTACGGAGCTTCTCAATCACTTCCGGCAAACAAATGGTCGTGTACCAACCACTATTCACTGTACAACGATTCTCCAAACCAACATTGCCACGTGTCCAGTTTTATTAATAAAGAAGCAATCATCCGCTTGAGGCACTTTGCATGCGCGCCACTTTGGTTGGTTTCGGCTCATCTTGAAAGACCCATACGCTCGATTGCTGTTTTATTTTGGGATCGTAACTATGTCCTACACCAAATTTGACGTTCCTTTGTTGAATCTAGTAAGCATAGCATTGCACCAGTAACGTGATCCCTTTTTTGAGCCTCAGTGATATTGTGTGGGATCCACCGAGAGCGTAGCTTTTTCACACCCAAATGTTTACGTAGTATTGATTGTATTTAACTCATGCCTATGCCTAAAGATGCCCAAATCTCATGGTATGTCACATGCCTGTCTGTTTTGGTCATACGGCACACAACATCGCAAAATGCAAGATCACGCATGGTAAGACTACGTAATAATACCCATTATGCATTTAGAAGCCTATAGAAACCGTAATGGCCTTATATATGTTTATAGGCATTCGTCTCATGTATCATTGGTACGGGGGCAGTTGGATTCGTGATGATGACTTATGGTTTAGCTGATGCCATTGGTTGTATACTCACGGGATACATAGCCAAAGTAAGTACCTGTGAGGGTTAAGTTTTTCATGTTTGTACAGGGTGCAAATTTGAGATGGGTCAGCCTTCCTATGAGCACGCCAACTCTCCCGGTCCTGTGCCGCCCGTGTCCAACCACTGCCGGCCCCCTTTCTCTGAGTTTGTTTGATGGATCAAATCTTTAATAAAGTCATACGTCATAGAATTAAATTGGCCGATATAGCCTGCAAAATCAGTAAGCTTAAGTGGCAGTGGGCCGGGTATGTCTGCAGGAGAGCTGATGAGCAATGGAGGAGCAGACTTGTTCTGGAGTGGCGATCACGTCAAGGAAAACGTAGTGTAGGCGAAATTTATGGTACAGTTTTTTTGCGATAGCTGACTTGTCCTAGTCTACTCTTACAGCAGTTGGTCTATTGACTCTAGAGACTATTGATCATTGCTAGAAACGGGATCGAATAGCATTAAAAAAAGTTTCGTGAAAATTGCATTTTATTTTGCTGACTGTAACATTTCTTCAAAATCTGTGATAGTCAATAAAAATGTGTTCAATGTTCATGGACAATCAATGTTTAGGAACGTTTTCCTGTAACTATGACGATAAGGTAGCTGCTCTTGCTGACTCGTCTCAAATTTTCATCCTGTATACAAGAATGGTCCACGTTGTAATAATTCTTTATAGACAAGGTAATAGTTTGGCATATCCGTAACGGCTAGAAGTTTCTTTTTAAAAGTAGTTCCTAGAGTCGGTTTTGAATGTGTTAAAATAAAAAATGTTTTAAAATATCTTTGACAGTTTACAGGCCGGGTGGCGCTTATTTGCAGCGCAACGGCGATAAACACAGCTATGTTTATAACAATACTATTATGGAGGCCGCAGGCTCACTTAAGTTACACGCTGTACGTTTTTGCTGTTATCTGGGGGCTCTGCGACTCCGTATGGATGGTGCAACTTAATGGTCAGTATTTAACACTCAATTAACATTGCCTTTATAAAAATTATTGCAATAAATTACCATAGTTAGTATACGGATTAATAGCTGTGATTGGTTACATAACTTCAGACCTTTTTTGTGTGTGGAAAGGAGGAAATCTTCATGGATATCGTAGGTTTGGACAAGATGGTATGCCCAATTTCACTGGGATGTGGACTTAGTGATTTACGGACTAAAACCATCCCTGTTAGTTACCTGCTGTTTTTGCTGTTGCATTACACTTGAATCTCAGAGTTACGTCTACCGCGTAATGATGACGTCACAAAAGGTTCGCTTATATCACACTGGCCTCGACAGATAGAAAGGCAAAAGCAGCAATCGAATTTCAGAGATAAATAAGTATAAACATTTTGTAGGTTTTTCTGAGAAAAAGAATAGTTAAATGTTATTGTTATTATAATGCTGATGTTAGTTCTAACTTTCGACTTCACTGTATATTCAACTATTGTTGAAATAGAATTCTACAAAAAATTAATAAATTACAATTTTTTCCTGATCTCCAATATATAACTCCATTTCGAAAAAAATGGCAGTTGTTCCCATTTTTCGTTTGTAGGGCGGTATAAGTCTAATTTTCGTGGAAATTTTTAAGATATAAATTTAAAAGGTCTGAAAGTGATTCCTGGCATGAAGCACAACTTTATATAGGTAATGGGAAGGAGGCACTTGTTTAAAGTTATCAGAATTTGTGTCAGTTTTTATGGTTCTGGTACAAACGTCTTACAATACGTTCAAATTTTTATTTTTTGTTCGATTTACATTGATTTCTCTTCCACAGCTTTTGTTGGCACGCTCTTTCCTGGCCAAGAAGAAGCAGCCTACGCTAATTTCAGGCTCTGGGAATCAGTCGGTTACATTATCGCGTACGTCATCTCTCCTTATCTTCGCATTAGTGAAAAGACCTACCTCCTTCTTGTCATGATGTTCGTAGGAGTTTTCTTGTTTTTCATTGTAGAATTCAAAGAAAGTAGGAATCGGAATTGCCTTGTGATTAATAACGACTGTGATAAGGAGTCAAAACTTAAAGATAAGTCCTACAAAGGAAATGATAATCCGGCTTTCCAAAATTCGTAACTAGGATATTGATTTTTAGATGAAAATAATTTAATAACTACCTAAAACCGGTAACTGATGGAATGTTAAAAGGGATTAAACTAACCGTTACGTGTTCTAGAAACACGTACAAATCATCACTCCTGTTTTCCAGAGATTACGGACCTACGCTCCTGACAAACCTTCTTCGCCTCCTCCACTCCCGTCAGTGTCTTCATATATGCCCGTTTATTCTTGGTATTTCTAACTCGGCCTTCTATGAGATATATACGCCGAGGTCTACTTCTCCCCACGGCTCCACATTCGCTCTATAAACTTGTGCCGTCAATCCACCAACCTTAATTCTTTAAAAATTGTGAGTGAAAACACAGCTGTGCATTAGATACGTCCTGTAGCTCTAAAACACTGCAGTGCTACAATCGTTAGGGACACTGTGTTTCTAGGCTGCGTGACGGGTTAAGTTTTTTATTTTATTTAATTCCCCTTTCTAATAATTTTATTTACATACAACGTTACCAGTAATTATATATATATATATATATACACACACACATACGAAAATAATGTCTTCTACCATACAATAAGTTTACCAGTAATTATATATATACATATATATACACACACATACGAAAATAATGTCTTCTACCATACAATAAGTATATCTAAATTAATAAATGTATAAATGTACGTAATATTTTGAAGTAAGTATCTAAGTATTTCATTTAATTTCTAAAATACTAATAAAATGAAATTATATTTAATTAAATAGGACTTCATTCTTCAAACGCACACACATATATACATAGAAAATCACACGATATTATGTAGGTACCTACTAATAATTTATGAGCTATGAGTGATTAAAAGAACGAGACCTGAGCAAGGTGCTGTTTTACAGTAAATGTAATTAATGCAGTGTACTTGTTTTATTTCTTCGAGTGTCTTTTATTACAAAATCCATATACTTAAAACATTCTAACGGATCTGAAGGTTTTCATACGTAAACTTTTGTACCAAATATGTCTAATCAATAGAAAACAAAATTTTTTGGTAGGTCAATACAATTGACCTATCGAAAAATTTCTTAGTGGGTTAATGTATACTAAAATTACACCACTTGTATATTTAACTGAACATAACATTGACGACCTCCGCTTTTCAGTGTCGCCATCATTTAGGTGCCGAGTTCGATTCCCGGCCGAGTCAATGTAGAAAAACTAACTTTTCTATAATTGTCTCGGATCTAGGTACTTGTGGTACCATAGTTGTTTCCGATTTCCGTAACAGACGTGCTTTAGTTACTTACTTTGGGATCAAAGCAACGTATGTGATGCTGTGTAATATTTATTTATTACAATATAATGTCGATGTGACCATACATATTGTAGATTTATTTACTTTGATTATTTAAGGCATTATTATAGAATTTGCATTTCGCAAACTAAGCGTATTTAAGCATATTCATGTAATATTATATGTTTAAAAAGCATCCATAAACCATTTTGGGAAAACTGATTTGTTTTATTTACGATATAAATGAAAATATAAATTCTGGGTTAGTGTAGATTTGTAAATTTTAAAGATTACTCTTATCGTCTGTGGGATCATATACTATACTAGACTATAGACATCCGCATCCAGAATACTCTACGATGTAGTGCAGCTCTACACAAAGTGTTGGTGTCCAAACTTCTAAACCGTCAAGTCAAAATTCGGATTTACAAGACCGTCATAAAGCCTATTCTTACGTACGGTTGTGAGGCTTGGACACTCACTTAAAGAAGAGAACAATCTCTTGGTGGCTGAGAGAAAGGTTCTCATATTAGAGCCACTCCAACGGGAGAACGATAGCTGGAGAGTCCGCATTAACGCTGAAATAGAAGAGCTCGTTGCCCAGTCAAACATCATCGGCGAAACCAAAGTGCACAGACTTCGCTGGTTCGGACATTTAGAAAGGATAGGAGACGATCGGAACGTGAAGTGGGTTCTCTCTCTGGGTTCGACCAACTGAACGAAGACCGGTTGGTCGTCTCAGGTATGGCTGGAGCGACGCCGTGGAGGCGAACCTGTGCGAACTACAAGCCATCAATTGACGAGAGATAGCGCAGGACCCAAGAAAGTGGCATCATCTCGTTTCGGAGGTCGGGACATATTTTGGGTCGCTGAGCTAGCGGAGTAAGTAAGTAAGTCGGCTGTGGGATCTGTATCTGCATATAAGTACATATGTATATTACAATAAAATTCATCCAGGGAAGTACTGCCACCTTACCTATCTCTGTCGCCAAGCGATAATGTAAGCGTTACTGCGTTTCGGTTTGAATGGTAAGGGTGCTAGTGAAATTATAGGCACATGGGACTTGGCAAGGTGAAAGGCGCAGTGGCAGTGTCCCGCAGATCGTTGCATGGCACTGCAACTGTTATGTGCAAGCGTGTCGTGCCAATATACGCACGACTTGTTCGTCCCGTCATTTAATATCATAAAAAAGTACTATTGGCAGAAATTATGAACCGAGTATTTGCTCGACAAAAAATAACTAAGAACTGTTTTTCATGATGTTCCACATGAATTAGGTGTAAGATTATCTTATTAAGTAAGTTTATATTTATGTCAATTCATACTAGAGTTCAGCGCATATATAAATATCAATGAGCTCTATGTGATGGATTTTGATAGTCACTTGTTATTGATGTGAATTATTTGTATACATAGAGGCTTGCCTATGGTAACGCAGACGTGTCCGTAGCAATGCATGAAGCAATGAATAGCGAAAGGGGCCGGTGCGAGGTAATGAGTTATTATTCTGTGACTGGTGGATAATTATTATTATGAAAAGACCCCTTCGATCGGTGTGTCGCGTGTTCTTCTAGTGTGTGGTCGTCGACTGGGTAACGAAATGTGTAAAATCAGTCTGTGTACTATCGTTACTCAGTGTGTGTTTTTTATATTTCCTTACGCGTCTCATTTTTCTTTTAAATAGTGGATTTGCGTTTTCATAGAGGTGAAATGACTGCTACTGAATGTTTGTGTTTTGGTGTCGGTTTTCGTTCGGCATGAAGGGCCCATTAGCATTTTTATCCAGTGGTTTTCATGGTTATGGTTGAGTTTTTTTTTTATAGAAGACCCACAATATATTAAAATTATTATATGGATATAATAAGGCACATTAAGCCAAACAAACGCTTCAGAACAAAAAACCCTAAGAGACAGAATGGTACTAAGTACTGCATATATTTTAACCAATAATTTTTTTATACATTTATGGCCCAGTTGCAAGACTTTTAGGCCAATTTAAGCAATCAGGAGGCAGTGTAGTATTTGAGTAGCGAGCTCATTTTTTGAAAGTCATTATAGTTCTGTGTATAGTACTATAGTACTTATTATAGTTCTGTGTACAGAACTATAATGAAATTTTTTGCTCAGTGGCGAGTACCATAGACAACAGAATTTTGATTCAGAACTAAAAAGAGCGCCTTTAGGACTTGGTCTATGAAATTATAATTGACAGATAAAATACAGGAGTAAAAAAGTTGGTTTTGTAGCATTGTCTATGGTACTCACTACTAAACTGATGAGTAATATAGTTCTGTACACAGAACTGTAACGAGTTTCAAATAAAGAACGTCATGTTTTTGGTAATTAAAATATGAAATATGACACTACTCAAACGCTCTACTGCCTCCTTATTCGTTAAAATGGCCTAAAAATCTTGCAACCGGGCCATACACTTTTTTAAAAACAATGATTGGTCAAAATATAAATGGTACTTGGCCATTTCTATTCTATCCCTTTGGTTTTTTATTCTGTGGCGTTTGTTAGGCTTTCGGTTTATTTTGGTTTCTAGAAAACAATGCTTTATTTCCTTACTGTGATTTCTTCTGGAACTAATACAGTAGCTGTAACAAGTGTCAATGTCTTTGTGATTCCAAAATCGTTGCACCGCTTCAAACATTGCAAACTCGTCAATCGTTGCAAACTTTCTACCAACCGTTGACTAAATAAAAGTTGGCGCCCTCTACCTCTTGAAAATATTTATATGTTCACTGAATAAAACTAATGATTATTTTATAAAGATACAAGAAGATTTCTGAGCCTGAGTATTTTTCCCTTTATCTTTTGTACCATTTAATGTAATGCCTTATACTTACTCAATGTGTAACTCATTATGGAACAACTGTCTGCTTTTGTTATATTGCTTTTCTGCTGTTGCCATTGGGTACAATCAAATATGCAATAGCCGATGGCTGTGAGACAGAGATGGCGATTGTTTTCTTATTTATTACAAATTATAATCTTTCAGTGCACAATATTAAGTTCTCTTTCTCATTTTATATTTTATTGTTATCTATTATCTAATTGTTATAAGAAACATGTTTGATATTACGATTTAGGACTTTATGGAATTGGAGTAGTGGCGTTAAAAATAAAAAAGAACCACTATTTGGTTGATTTCATTTTGTTTGCACCATCTTTGACTTACTTTTTTGTCTAACTTTGGTGCGTTCGTAAACTATTTAGGATTTACAATATCATATATAGTTGAATTTCCTGAAAAGATAAAAGCAAAAATTACTGGCATATTATGCGAGAAGATCAAAAGTTACGAAAAATGTAACCATCTGGCAACACTACACAATATTCATTCGCTATCATTGTCATGTTGTATGCAAACCATCGGAATAATAGATTATCTGACAACAGTTTTTAATATCAGTTATTGCAAAATGGCATAACAGTATAATTTATTATTGACAAACAGTCGTTATTGCCATGTCTAATTGTAACTAAAAGATACAATTACGTTATTTATTAATGTGTATGCCTCTACATACAAACTGAAGTACCTATTGACTACAATTGAGTCGATGTCGTTTGCCAATACAGTGCTTACTTAAGAAATGAACGTTTCGAATTTGTTTCCGATTTAAATTTGGGGAATATTTTCCAAGAAGTAATTAAGTTACTTCGAAATTCAATTATGACGTGACTCGTACGTAGTGCGTATTTGAAATACTGATTTCAAAGAGATTTTCATTCGCAATTTTGTAGTAATTACTCTCAAGTAAGAATATTACTTAAGTATACTGGATAACAGGTAGAGTTCCTGTTCTAACTATTCATTATAGAGGGCGTTTATCGCGGAGAGTTAAAGTCGGAGGAATTGAGTATATCTGATGCTGCGACAACTTCGTTGTGGCGGTTATGTACCAAGGGTGGCAGAGGGCAGCCGCTTGCCCCAAATGGAGATCTTTTGTAACAAATAAAAAAATCACCATTTAAAACCCTTCGATGTAATGAGGTAAACGTGGGACGCGACGAGCTGAAAGTCCGACCACCTGCAGCGATCAGCTTCCACTAAGTTTATGGTGTACTTATAGTGGTGTACTCAGTGCGCGCACGATAGTTTACTAGTAAAATTGGCTACTTGAGCCACGTGAGAGCGCACGAACGCCACCAACAGCGGAGTTGTAGCAGTTGCGGTACCGAAAATGGTCAGGATAATGTAGTATTATCTGGTGACTACAAATTCATTTTCCTTATATATATATATATACATATATACACACATACATACACATCATTGCTGTGTACTGGGACATCTGTAACTCATTATGGGTGGTACAGACCATTGGTAATTATGCTAAGATCATTAATCAATCTAG